TGGGAACATTAAAAGTAAATTCTACTTTGCAAGAAGATGTGAAATGATATAAACGTGAGTATTGAAATTAGTCTAAAAAACTGACTATTTTGTCACACGTAAGCTGTATACTAGCGCAAGTGTACTTAGGTCTTTAAACCAATGAGGCGAGAAGATATCCTTGCTTGTTTTCCTCCCTTTCAGCATACCCTTAAGAAGACAACTTCTCGACACGGGGTTGAAGTGTGAGGATCACAAATACTCAATCACCGTACGCAGTGTTGGAAGCTAAACCCCATCCGCCGACAACAAAACGAATTGGACGCTCGATTAGCAAGAGCCATATTCGTCCTGTGCAACTGAACTGAACTGAACTGGATGAACTTTCCTCAAGGGCGCAGCCTTCCCGTGCATGTGTAACCGGTTGTCGCGCTTCCACTTTCCATAATTCATTTAATTGCGTGTTAACGGCGCAGTTCAACGAATTCACATATATCCAGGGGATCGTGTAAAGCTTCCGGGTGAATCAGCAGTCCATAAAAATATGATAACATCTTTCCATTGGAGCGATTACTTCGTTTTTGCATTCTGGCTTCTCATATATACATTTATTGGAATTTACCATAGATATCACGGTCAGATACGTGCCTTCTTTCGGAGGATTATAAGATGTGAAAAGGCTCATGGAACTCACGAAAAAGCTCAAATTGAGGATCTATTCCTCTCGAATAGACAGTTATCTTTGCTACCAATTGTTTCAAGCCTGATGGCGAGCTTTTTGTCCGCCGTTTCATTAATGGGTACGACCACCGAGGCTTATCTTTCCGGGTTACAATTCATTTGTATGATTTTGGCATACATTATCGCATTTCCTTTAACTGCGGAGATGTATATGCCTGTGTTTTATAAGCTTCGGCTCTCGTGTGCTCATGAGGTAAGTTTAGTTATCTTTTAGAGAGTATTTAAATGGTTACATTTATTTCCATATTTATGTTCTACAGTGCTTTTTTCTTGATTAACGGACGTGATTTAACAGAATATTTAAGTTTACTGAATGTCAATGACGTATATTTATAAATATACGTCAGGACAGGGCATAACAGATCACAGGACTTGCGGCGGAGCCAGAAGTAGTCCAGTTCTTTGCACCAATGAGCCTGGGAGCACTACGGCGCTGCGACAATTGTGTTATTTCTTTCACGTAGACGTGGGTGGGTGCGGTTCTGGAAAAGGAAAACGCACTTCTGGTGGTCCCTCTGAGTGACAGTACACGTTAGAGGTTTTACCAGGATCAAAGCAACAGCTCGCAAACAACCGGTCCGAGCTACTCAGAGTAAAAGGTGTGTTGGGAGAAGAAACATGACCTACAAGTGGTGGTGCTGNGAACTTTCAGTAAAACGTGGTACACAGTGAATGAAAAATGGAGCTGAGGGAGTTGGAGAAAACAAAGTGGAGTAAGAGATAAAGAGTTAAAAGTGGAGGACCCGGAGACGGACGAGCTTTTAGCGACCTTAGGCCCGGTGTCAGATACAGTTGGGGAACGCTGATGCCCAGTATGCGTCAAGCTTCAGCTTGAACTCGGCAATGGTCGTCCCAAAGGGACTCCAATGGGACTGTAATGTGACGGAAAATCATCCCATGTGCTGGCAGGGTATAAATAAAAGAAACATTATAATGTTTCTTATAACATACACTGAAAGTTTACCGTCATCAACTAGATTATTCGAATAATCTAATAATTATCTAATAATCTAATATGTATATCTTTAACACCGGCTTGAGAACATGCTTGGTGCCAACGCCATAAAAATATTAACAATAACAATAACAAGGGGCAGGGGGGTTGGGGTACAGATGTAGCTGTCAGAATAAAAGAATACGAATAGGTGGAATAACAATTTTTTTGGGTGTTTCACTGTACAATTTTTGAATTTTTTGTTGTTTGCGGTTTTTACGGGGCACGGGCTTTCGACAGGGAGATCGTACAGCATTCGCGCCACTGACTTCTATTCCGGGCCATGTCTCTCAGCGTCTCTAACCAGCGACAGTTCTTATCCCTTGGGCCCCAACCTAAAAGGCGGGCTGCACCAACCAAAGCTGAAGCTGGCTTCTTCACGCCTCTAGCCCATACCATGGTCTGACCACCACGGCGCTTCCTCCAGCCTCGCCAGACACGTGTGAAGAGAGCACGGAACGGTAATCGATGGGCAGGCATACGCAATACGTGACGGAGCCGTCGGAGGCGGTGTAGAGCGATTACTTCTGTTAGAGAACGACTATCCGCACCCAACACACGACGACGGACCTCGTCATTGCTCACCTGATGTTCCCATCAGACACGAGCAATGCTTCGGAGACATCGGTGGTCAAATACAGAAAGTCGATTAGCATCCCCCGTTCGGAGAGGCCAGGTCTCGCAACCGTAAAGCAGAACACTCCGAACTGCGTCGATGTACACCTTTCCCCTAAGGGACAGTCGGATATCATGGCGGCGCCACATGTGTCGTAGGCTGCTCTAGCTTTCGCTATTCGTGATGTGATCTCGTCCCCAACACCACCACCAGCTGCGATGAAGCTCCCGAGGTAACGGTCTGATCAGTCCGTTACTTAAATTCTGAAAGGGAACAAGAAATATATCAAACGGAAAGTAAACTATGGTTTACCGGACGATCATAATGGTCCGGATTTAGATGTTACCAATGGTGAAGCAGGTGACGTTTATCATCAAACCGCTTTTCTTCCGAGAAAGGTTCACTAATGGCGGTTTGTCCTTAAATGTCTGGCAAATATTCCGCGGCATTTCTCACGAGGTTTAAGCGTACGACACAAGCACACAGTTATTCTTTCCGGCTGATTGATGTATTCTTTCCATCCGAAGGTTATTCCGGTTGATGACACACTACTAAGCCGAAATGTTTTGCTGATGCAGATAGCGGATAACTTGGCAGCAACCAATCAGTGTCCTCCGTGCCTCAGCAATAATTCGAGAAAACGCGCCTTACAAGAATTTGAACTAAATATAAGAATGCATAAGAAAGGGTGACGCTACTGTGAATCTAAAAACCGCCATTGTTTTTTTTCGTTCATTTTTTCTTATCCCCTATTAATATACAACTATTTATTGGATTTGTAATCCTTGAAAATACCTGATAATGAAAAAAGATTAGCCTGAGCCCCTGAGGTACATCGATCATGACCCACCGTGCCGAACATCCAAGCATATTCCGTAACTCGTGAGCAACCAAATTACTACCGAACAAACCAGAAGACTTGTGGTTGCAACAGACGTGTTTTGAGGTACTGTGGTTCAGGGAATGTACGGATATGCGTACACAAATCTGCGTAAAAGCATGGAATCAAAAAGAATCCACAATTGAGATAACCTACAAACCAATCGAAAACAAAAGGTGGAAGTTATCTGCGGAAGGATGCAGTAAACACCAATTGTATAATGCGCTGAGAAAAGTGGTGTCCGGCAAACGTTAGATATTGTCCAGATTTCTCCGTACAATCGATCAAATTACACCTTAATTCGCCAAAAAGTCAATCAACTGTAGCTTTTACTAAAGCAAGTTGGTCAAACAAAATGCATGCTAGATAAACCACGGTTTTTAGGCTTAGCATTATACGTTTGTCACATTAAGTAATAACACTTTGTAGGCAGTTTTGAAACTATCCATGAAAAGGGAAAATGGGCAGAGTAAGAATGAAAGACGTCATGCAACATAAACCCACAGGACAAATGTAACAAACAAGCGCGGAAGGCAAAATTAAACACGCGGGAACCATTCAGATGGTCTTGTCCAGGTAAAGCGATGAAGTTCGCGAAAGGAAGGTAAATAAGGAAACCAATGCATGTTATTGCCCTCTTTTTTGCTTTGTACTACGTTCGCTGTAGCAAAGTTTTCCGACAAATGCGCTATCCCAGCAAATGAGATTCAGGGTCTGTCTGAAACTCTAGATCAATATCTGACTCACCAGTGAAAAAAGCTACCGAAACTGAGTCAGTACTTATTAATTCAGTAAAAGCCCCATGCATTGAAGCTAATGTCTATTACTTTGCGCGAAACGCTTTCTGACTGGATACTAAGTAGTAGTCAATAATAGTATGATGGTACGCAGAGAGACAACAGCAACAGAATTGAGCTCTGCCGATATTTTATCGTTTCGGTGTGTCTACTCATTGCAAGTCCCCTAAACTAAAGGATGTCTTCTAGAGTGAATTTTATTGATTGATCGAAAAGGTGTACTGAACGGATACTGCGGTTGTAGTCCAAAAATTGAATGCTCAAAAGAGATCCAAAGGTTTCTGAGGAGGAATGAAAGCGAGCACATGCGGTCGTCTTCAACTTAACGGACCTCAAAGATGGTCTACTTTAACTTTGTGCTGGTCTTAGTTGGTTTCTGTTGGGCACAAACTTGTCACTAGAAAGAAGCATCGCTATAGGTGAAAATCTTCGCTCTACCTCCAGTTATCGCTGGTGAGAATGTATTACAGACTGTCACCCTTAATTTTTACTCATGTGGTCACAGCCCACGCTCTTATGCGAGTCAGATTTTGCTTGCGTCTGATGAACAACTGCAACAAACGGAAATGGATGCATATAGTGCAATGAAAGCATACGTTTGAGACCAGCTTTTGAAGAGGAGCTCTCTCATTAACTATCATTTGAACGGCTCTGAGAAATTCAGTGAACCTTGGAAGCTGATTAGAGAAACCAATGAAGATCCTGTAAGACCAACTAACACACAATGGATTTTCTCGACCTCTTATGCTTGATTGAACGATCGCAGCACCATCTCCGGATGTCAAATGTTATAGCTTGCAAATCCCTAAAATAGCGAACTGTAAAGTGCCTGAGGTATGACTTCGAGAAGTGGTGGGTCGTAAACGCAAAATATCAGAAGGCTGTGGTCATTGGCAACAACCACTATCTTTTCTGTCCAAACAGAAATACAAATAAACGGGAATTAGGCGTAAGCTATTTAATTAGAGTTCAATAGTATACTCATTCACATTCCTCAATGTTATGTGGAACAATCGACAAAACATTTCGATATGCGCATTTCGGCTCCAACTAATCGATTTCCTCCAGTCGTTACCGGTCCTTTTGAAATATACTTTACTCAAGATATGTTTCCTGAAGAGCTACTGGTCCAAACGGGTTATTCCTGCCCACATTTTTGTATGAGATCTTATTTATAGTTTTGCACTTGTCAGAGCTCCTGTGTCTAGTGCGGAAAGGCAAAGAAGTTCCGGAAGAAGTGTAAATAGTTTTTTATACCGCTTATTTGCAAAGGAAACAGATCCTTGTGCAATAATCACAGGTGTTAGTTTGAATAACATGGTCTCCAGGTCCTTCTTTGTATGATGTCTATTGTCTGACATCTGCAGACGCGAAAACCATGCTCTTTCTAGAACGAGTTGAGGATACCTAGACCATATTTTCACCATAAACAAACTTTTGGACACAGAAATTCCTTCCGTTAACTCACTGCTTCTATATAAATAGATCTAAAAGAGTATTTTGATTCATTTGACCGCACTGTACTCTGGCGTTGCCTATCCCCAAATATTTTGCAGGAGAAGGTTATGTTTGTCTGAACCTCCTGTTTACAAACAACCGTATTCACGTTGGGCCTTTTGGCTTTTCTTTGCTCGAGTTCTTGAAAAACGACGTTACTCAGGAGTAACCACTCTTAAAGTTTTTAAATTATTAATATGTATGATTCTGGAAGCCACTTTCCGTAATGCGAGGATAACGGTACCATTGTAATCCCAGATGCTATTCCGTTTATTCTAATGTATGCATACAGCTGTATACTGTTGACTGAAGACCCAGGTTAGTTATGAGCCATCTTAGGTGGTGATGTAACTATGTTGAACAGGCGATTTGCACCTCTAATTTCTGAAGTGCATTTATATCATTGGGTACATCTAGTACTTGACTTTACCCTAACTGGGAAGCAGTAGAGAAAGTATAAAGTTTGACATTTAGTCACTGCAAGACAAATCACGTATGAATTATCGGGTTGGTGGACCAGTTATAGTTCACCTAGGGGAGTTGACCAGAAAACCCTAGTTCAAAACCAACCAAGAAGAGGCGTACAAACCGCACTCATCCACACCCTCCTCGTTGTGGCAATGATGACCGGCTTCATTTAGTATCAAGGTGTATTGGGTACCTTGGACGTTTGACCCCGT